CTGTAATTCAGTTACACAAATGCACAGATTCAAGAGTGAGGGGAAAGGATGGCAGAGGGAGCAGAAAGATGATAAAGTCAGGACGTCGTGGACCCTGAACCGCAGAGTCCGTCTGATGTACCTGGTGAGGGAGAATTATGGGAGGGCAATGTGTACCTGGGGGTAGGGAGGTTGAGGGCAGGGCCACCAGGGTGGAGGCACCCAGCGGTCAGGCTGCAGAGCCGAGAATTCATCGTGAAACGGGGTAATGGAGGTACTTTCGAGTGTATACTTTTGGGATAAGGAGGTCTGGACGTGAACGCGGGGGTGGGGTGCAGTTTCTCGCTCTAGGCAGGACTCAGGGTGGGAAAACAGACAAGGTATTAAAGGGTGGGCGCGGAGGTCTACAGTTCATAAAGGGGGGAGGCTGGGGAAGGCGAAGGGGCAAGGCTTGCGGAGGAAGGTCGGGGGGATCCTGGCAGAAGGAAGCAGGGAGTCAATGGGGGAGGGGATGATGGTTCCACTGCAGGTGAGTCCCGGGGTCGAGGGGGGAGCAAGCGACCACGGCTGCGGCCGGGACCGCGGCGGGGGAGGGGCACCTACCCGGACGTGTGGGGTAGCGGCGGGCAGTCCCAGCGGCGGCTCCTCTCCGGCTGAGGTGATGGCGGCGAGTCCCTGTGGCGACCGCCTCCGCCGAGCCGCATCCCTCCTCCCCAGTCCGCCCTTCTCTCCTGTCTCCCGCTCCTAAACTTCTTCCCCGGGATAAACAAACCCGCCGCCAGGGGCGGCCGCCTCCGCCGCTCCCGCCCCCACGCAGCCCCCCCGCTCCGGGCCCGTCCGGGCCCCGGCTTCCGAGTTGCGACTCCAGCCCCAGCCCCAGCCCGCGAGGGCGCGTGCGCGCGGCGGCGGCTCGCAAGGCCTTCCCTCCCTCCTGCGCCGGGCACTTCCGGCCCGGGCCGGATCCGCCGCCGGGGTTTGAATGTAGCCGGCGCCGTTTGCGCCGGGCACTGGCTCCCAGCCTGGCGGGCTCCACATCCTCGGCCGAGCCGAGCCGAGCCTGGTAGGGACGCCCCCGCTTCGGTGCAGCATAAAACTTTCCTAAAAAACTCACTGATCCCCGCCCCTAACAGCTTATCTAATTGACCTAGGGTCAGTGTGAAAGGCGGCTGCTGTTTTCTGCGCACGGTTTTCTTAGGGCTGTACTAGGCTGGAAAGCCAAGATACAGTTTGTACCGATCGCTTCCTGTGAGCTCAGAACTATATGACTCCCTAAAACAAAAACAGCAGTATAGAGACTTCCCTGGCGGTCCAATAGTTAAGACTCTGCGCTTCCACTGCAGGGGGCGCGGGTTCCATCCCTGGTGGAGAACTAAGTTCCCGAAAGCCACTCAGCGCGGCCAGAAGGGAAAATCAGCAACAACAAAACAGGAGTATACAGTCTCTCAATACGGATAAAGACAACAGGCTGGTAGGCAAGTGAAGTGCCAGGTGGAAGCGTTTTCCGTTGGAGTAGATGAGCCGGAGCTATCAGGCTTAGGAAGGGAGGGGTCCGCGCAGGGGCGGCTGAAGGATGCTTGAGAAGCTTAGCAGAGCAGGAGGCATCCAGAGACTGGACGTTGGTAAACAGAGCTATAGCTAAGCAAACGTCTTAAGAGTCCATGAGACTGCCTCATGGAGTTAAGAGAATATAATCTTATTTATGTATTTAACACAAAAAACGTGCGTGGAATACAAACAACTCCAGCCAGAATTTCAGAAAGGAGATAAGATCAGCATAATCAGGTCTCAAAGTTGCCTTAGGCAAAGAGTTAAAAAACAAGTGAAAATGAGCATTGATATATTGGGGACTGTAGGGAGAGGAAATATTAGTGCAGAATTTCATGTTCTTCAAACATGAACAAAATCAGATCCTATTATTTGCTGTACTCACTGTGGGTGTGTGTTAACTTTACGGTATGTGACAGAAACAGTACAAATTATATGTAATTTTTGCCCAGGCCTTTTAGCTGTGTCAACCTCTTATCACTCATGCACTTTCTTTAATAGACCATTACTATGCACTAATAAATGTAATATGTTCAAGGAATTGAACTGCAATAAATCCTTCAGTAGATTTCCAATTGTGAGTTAAGAAATGAGTGGTACTTGGTGGCTCTTGATACTTGACTAAATTCTAGTTGTTGAGTGGTTCACTATACTTCCCCCCACAGGATGTCAATTTGCTCCTCCGGGTATTATTATAGTCTTTCCCCTAGGCTTGCTTTCTTTGCAGTATTAGTATATATCATTCTTTTTCTGGCAGTATTTGGTGAATTTATCCACTGATAAAATAACAGTAAATAGTAAAAGATGACACCACCCTTATGGCAGAAAGTGAAGAAGAACTCAAGAGCCTCTTGATGAAAGTCAAAGAGGAGAGTGAAAAAGTTGGCTTAAAGCTCAACATTCAGAAAACTATGATCATGGCATCCGGTCCCATCACTTCATGGCAAATAGTTGGGGAAACAGTGGAAACAGTGACAGACTTTATTCTTTTTTGGGCTCCAAAACCACTGCAGATGGTGACTGCATCCATGAAATTAAAAGACACTCCTTGGAAGGAAAGTTACGACCAACCTAGACAGCATATTAAAAAGGAGAGACATTACTTTGTCAACAAAGTTTGGTCTAGTCAAGGCTACGGTTTTTCCAGTAGTCACCTATGGATGTCAGAGTTGACCATAAAGAAAGCTGAGTGCTGAAGAATTGATGCTTTTGAACTGTGGTGTTGGAGGAGACTCTTGAGAGTCCCTTGGACTGCAAAGAGATCCAACCAGTCCATCCTAAAGCAGATCAGTCCTGAGTGTTCATTGGAAGGACTGATGTTGAAGCTGAAACTTCAATACTTTGGCCACCTGATGCTAAGAACTGACTCATTTGAAAAGATCCTGTTGTTGGAAAAGATTAAAGGCAGGAGGACAAGGGGATGACAGAGGATGAGATGGTTGGATGGCATCACTGACTTAATGGACTTGAGTTTGAGTAAACTCTGAGAGTTGGTGATGGACAAGGAGGCCTGATGTGCTGCAGTCCATGGGGTCGCAAAGAGTTGGACATGACTGAGTGACTGAGCTGAACTGAACTGAGTATGGCTTGTAATTAACGCTAATAAAAATGTGATTGGGAATTCCCTGATAATCCAGGGGTTAGGACACCTTGCTCTCACTGTGGAGGGCCCAGGTTCCGTCCTTGAGGGAGGGAACTATGATCCCACAAGTCTCGGGGCATGCCCACCCCACAAAAAAGAAAAGTTTGGCAAAGTAAAAGATGACTATGATCATCATAGATTAAAGATTTATTACCAGTCCCCTAAAGAACTTCCTTTCTTGATTTGATTTCCCCTAAAGAACTTCCTTTCTTGATTTGTTGGATACCTGTCATGACCATCCAACTCCTTAGATGCCAAGAAACTTTATGATAACTGATTTTGCTGCTCATTGTCAGTTTTCTATAAGAAACCAGTCCGATTCTCAGTGGATGTGGCTGATTCGGAAACTCTTATTGCAGATAATAGGTTAGCAGTTAGCACAGATCAGAAGAGCCATTCATTCTCTGAGCTTAATGCACACCGAGGAGGACCAGATTTTGAATCTTGATTCCGCCCTATGAGACTCTGTCTGAAAAGCTATCCATGAACTCCAATTTGATGTTTTAGTGACTGTGGCATCTTATACCTCTTTTCTAAATTAAACACCACAGTTATTTCCATTTCATGGCATAACCAACTTACCAGTGTCTTCCATACTACCACCCTGTTTGGTACTATCATTTTCCAATTCTAAGTGTCAAAACCTATAGAATTCATAAATCCAGTATTATCTTCTGTTTAGAGATAAAACAGAAGTAGCGATGTGCTTATTAGCAAACAGAATCCTTCGTGAATCCTAAGTGACATGCTCTCTGAGCTCCCCTGGACATTTTGCCTCATACCCTTACCCTACTAATGTGGTTCACCAGATGCTTCTCTTCTAATGAGCTGGCTTCTGCTAACCATATACTCTCCTATCTTAAATTTTTTTCAAGGGAACCACTCTGGTCTTACTTTTCACAAGCTAACACTTGTGATCAGACTCAACATTTAGTTTTTGGAATTTAGGTGGAAAGAAAAGAAAAACTCTTTTAGTAATTATCTTTCACTGTTGTTGATACTAGGCCTTTTATCTGGAGGAAAACACTAAAGCCTTTGTTGAATAGTCTGTCAATTACATGTAATCTCATTTTTCCCCCCTTTGTCTCTATTTCTTTCTTATCTCTGGCTTTTCATCTTGCATATAAATTCCTAGGTTTGTAGTACTTTTACATTATATAATACTCACTTTTTAAGGATCCAAAAACCTAAGAACTCTAGCATTATACCTACAACTCTTGTGTAGTGATGCCCCCCCAAAAGGGCAAGTTTGATGTACATAAAAATCACTCCAAGAAAACTGAGAATAGGCCCCAGAACTCTGAGAACAGGATCTTTTATGTCTTTTAAGTCCTTCCTTGACATTTTTTATTTTCATGTCCTCAGCTATGATATGTCAAATATTTTGAGATGTCCCCTTGTTTCAGACACATTCATGTATTTAATGCTTTGGTTCTTTGCATATTCTGTCTACTGTAGAAGAAAGGATTTTTGTTGTTTTATCACCATGTGGAGAGTAAAAGTTGAGTTGCAGCAGTTTACTAGTTGGCATACTGTTACATTTTCTAGAAATTTAACTGAATATTAAATTTAACCAAGTTTGAAACATTTTGAGGCTCTTAAACCACAAATAATCCCTAGATTCTGGATCCATAATGCTCAGTGAGTGAGACAGCAATACCTCTACCTACACAATACATTGTCTTGGAAGAATATTGGTTACCCTACCTGGAAGTCCTCTATTCACAATGTAATGTGAGAAAACAACAAAAATGCTCTCTTCTACAAGGTTACCCAAGGCCCCTAGAGCATCGCTCTAGGCACACCCTGAGAACGCTCATCCAAGGTCACTTACGGTTGCTGGAAATGTTTTTACTGTGCCAGGATCCAGGCGGTCGCTGCTGCCGTGATCTAGTGGTCCCTGATGATCTCTCCCTTCCTCGGCGTGCCCAGCTGAACTCTCTCTCCTCTGCTGGTGCCCCGACCTTGCCCCTTCTCAGCTTCCCAGGTAACCTGAGAAGTTGCGGTGGAGTCTGGTCCTTGGAGATGGTCCCAGGGGAAGCCTGGGATGCTCCACTGTGCTCTCCAGCCGGGGTCACCAGCCTCTGCCCCCAGCGGCCTAGAGGTGCAGCCGCTCATCTCCTCCTCTTTATCTCTGCTCGGTCATCACAATGTCTCCAGGTCAGGGTCTTTGCTCCCCTCCCAGAGAGACACACCCTAACGCCTATCAGGGCAATTTCTGGTTAGAGGAGTTTATTTAAACATCTGCCTCTGCCACGCCCACTGGGTGGGTCTCAGACTCTAACCTTCTCCCTCAAAATTGGGGCAAATCACTCCACTTTCTTCTGAGCCTAACTCAAGAAATGGCAGCCCCGTGGCTGTTTTCTCTGGACATATTAAGGGGCCCCGCCTCCAATAGGATCTCAAATGGGCTTCTGTTTCACTCAGACCAAGCATTCCTTCTACAAGGGGACACATGTAGAGCTGGGCCCTGCTCCCAGACCAGCAATCTAGAAGTCCCACAGGCCCATTGGGTGAGCTGCAGCGGTGTTCCTGGGGCTGCCCAGCGGCCAATCAGACGCTAGTGAACCCAGGAACCTTGGAATCTCTGGGCCTCAGTGTTCCTTGACTTGCTGCTTCCTCCTGCCCTACATCCTCAGATGGATTGAGTTCTCCCTCTGTGAATTACCTTCTGCTGCCTCCCTGCTTTAGAAACTACGCTCTGCTCTCTAGCTGTTGCCAAATCTGCATTCATACCCCTTCACCACACTGAGTGGCCGCCCGCCTCCAGATGGTTCTCTCTGCTGTTCAGAGCCCTTTGCCGCCAGCGCGCTTGCCAGATTGGAAATCCTGGTATGGCCATTTCCAAAATCAGAAACCAGAGTGCCATCCGTATCTGGGGACACTGCGCCTGCACATCCCAGCACCCAGTCAAGCCCAGCCTCTGTGAAGGCGCCTGCCAGACACCCTCCCTGCAAGCCTCCCTCCCCTTCCCTGCACTTCTAGCCTGGGTGATCTGGTGTTTTTGCCTTCCCCTCCCTGCCTGTCCATCCCTGCTGGAGTTTTAGCACCCTTGACCTTCTCTGTCTGAACTATGCCAGGCTGGAGAAGGGTCAACTTTAGGGCTATATAAATCCTGGATATAGAGGCCTCTTCCCAAACATGGAAAGATGTAGCCACATCTTACATGAAAAATATAATGTTTTGTTGTGCAAAATGAAAGAGATTCATCTAATTTTCCTTTTGAAATATTTAATAATTTCATTTTGCAATTCTCTATTTTAGAGCCAAGACATTTTCTTTTCCAGCTCTCAAAACAATTTGGTAAAACCTGGAAAAACTTATGGGTCCTGGGCACTGTGCCTGTTCAGTGAGCACTGTTCAGTGAGAACCTGAACCCTTAAAAGGATTAAAAAATGGCACTGGGTGGGGGGAGGCAAGCCCTTCCACACTTGACTCCATCTCAGGGCTTCTTCCCCCAATCTCATCATCACTGAAATCTTTCTCTTCCCCAGTTTTTAACTGGGTTTCTCTGTTTGATCCCTGCCTTGGTCACTCATTTTTTACCCATGCTGCTCACGTGTGTTGTTGTTTAGTCATGTCTGACTCTGCGACCCTATGGACTGTAGCCCACCAGGCTCCTCTGTCCATGGGATTTCCCAGCAAGAATACTGGAGTGGGCTGCTATTTGCTTCTCCAGGGGATCTTCCTGACCCAGGGACTCAACCTGTCTCTCCTGCATTGGCAGGCGGATTCTTTCCTGCTGAGCCACCAGAGAAGCCTTGTTCCCAGTGTTAGCTGGCTGGTCTGGATTGCACAGCATCAGCATCCTGTAGATCCCCTTTCACAGCACTCCTTCCACCACTGAAGGCCTTGGGGTATTGTCTTGAAGCCCCCTCACCCCCTGAGACTGCAGCTTTCAACTACGGCATATGTTTGCTTGACCCTGTGGGTATGACAGTGAGGATGTCTTTGGATTGGACTTTGGTAAGTCTGCTTCATCCATCTCTCTGCCTCCCCGACCCCCACAGCCTGCCCCCCCCCCTTCTGTATGAGACAGGTCTACAGTTTGGATGCTTCAGTTTTACCCTGTCTGCTAGGACTGACCAGCAAAGCCCACTTGTGTCCAAAGCAGAATAACTACCAGAAATCACACTTTGCATTTTTTTACTGAAGTACCTGCTCACATTTCTGTGTGTTGTGTTTGGAGCACCTCCTTCCCCGAGTGAAGTGAAGTCGCTCAGTCGTGTCCAACTCCTTGCGACCCCATGGACTGTAGCCTACCATACTTCTCTGTCCATGGGATTTTCCAGGCACTAGTACTGAAGTGGAGTGCCGTTTCCCTCTCCAGAGGGAAGTGCCATTTCCCTCCCCGACCCAGGGATCAAACCTGGGTCTCCTGCATTGTAGGCAGATGCTTTAATGCCTGAGCCACCAGGGAAGTCCTTCCCTGAAGGAGTCGCTGATTATGCCTCTGTGACACATGGCCTTACTGCTACACTTCTCTGCAGGTTTTCCTGATTATTCATTATTGCCGATTGAACTTATACACAAGAAACCAAAATGTCCCCAGCAATTACCCCGGATTATCTCTCTTCTGAGTATTAACTGTTACTTAGCTGAAATAGCCATTAGAAGTTTAGCTTTTACTTTCCAGGATTTCTGGATTTTATTGTAGTAACTCTATCATTTCAATATATTTCTTAAAATTGAATTATGAATATTCAGTGCATAGAGTGAACCAGTATTACTTCTTCAGTCTCCTTTTCTTAATATTTTTTCCCCAGAAAGAAAATTAGGCTAGCCTTTTAAAAATCGTGTTCTGCTGCCGTCTACAATTTTGAGAGGAGAGGTGATGCATGTTTTTATTTTCATGTTGTCAAGAGCTCAGCAAGAATTTGCTTCTATTTTGCATGTGGAGCCTACTGTGTGCAAAACAGGTGTGAAAAAGCCAAGCTTCCTTTTTGAACACCTATTAAAGCTGTTTTCTTTCTTTTCTTTTTTATTTTTCTCAGTTGTAATCACTTAACCATAAAAAGTCTGGATATTTATACAAAATGTTATTGCGCTTCATTTGTCAAGTTGACTTTCTGAGTTTGCTTTTTATTTTACTGATTTATTTGTTTGATCCAGGATAGGCTTAAGATATATTTCCCTTGACTTGAAGGAAAACATGATTTAGGTCCTGGCGTATTCACCTGATGCCGTGCACTCATTCGTGGCGTCCCCTCTTGGCATATGCTATGATTCTGAACCTGTTGGCCTTCTCATCCACAAGTGCCCTTTCCCCTCTCTGCTCCACATCTTAAACAGCTCTTGCAGACCATTTCCCAGGCTCCTGTGTCAATTGGCTTCCTGCTGGAAATTCAGTAGGAAACATTGTCAGGATCCCGGAAGGAAGGAGGAGTGGAGAAGCTGGTGTATTATTCCCCTTTTTCTGCCTTAGGCACCCTCCCCTGCAGCAACTGTGATATCTCCCAGGCTCCAACTCTGCTGGACAAGCCTACCACCGAATCAGCCCTGGCAACACTGTCTCCTCCCTCTGGCCTGTTTAAAAGCGTAATGGCTTCTTGTGGTTGCTAATCCCTGAATTCTTCTCAGTTTTTCCATCATTTGTGCCGTGGATATACCAAATCCTCTGTTGAAAGTAATGAGTGTGGTTTATTTTTTTCTGGTTAGACTCAGCACATTTGTCCATTTTATGTTTTTGTAAGGGTCTTATCTTGTTTATAGGGGAAGGAATGATGTTCACAGAGAAGTAGTTATTTTACCTTATTTATTGCTGTACCTTGCGCCTTTCAGGATTTTTGTTCTCCCACTAGAGATTGAACCCGTGCCCCCTGCAGTGGAAGTGTGCAATCTTAACCACTAGGCCACCAGGGAAGACTTGAGAGGTTGTTGTTAAGTGGCCAAGTCATGTTCGACTCTCTGCAGCCCCATGAACTGCAGCACGCCAGGCTTCCCCGTCCCTCACGCTCTCTTGGAGTTGGCCCGAGCTCACGTCCACTGACTTGGCGATGCCGACCAACCATCCCATCCTCTCGTTGCCTCTTCTCCTCCTGCCTTCCCTCTCCCCAGCATCAGGCTCTAACGTAGGAATCTGCTGTGTTCCTCCGCTTGGCTTGGCTAATGTCGCTGTTCTTTTAGCTCCTTACCTCCCACGCTTGCTTTCCAGTATGTATGGTATTGGGCTGGTAATACCCAGCCCAAGCCCAGTCCTTCTCCCATTCTCCATCCTTAATGCACATGACATCTGTCTTCTGGAGTCATATCCATATAGATGCACAACAGCCTGCTTTAAAATATTTTAAATCCCTTTGTATATAGTGTTCTGAACAAGAGTGTGACAGCTGTAGGATAGCAGAAAGGGCACTGGATTATCCACCCAGAAGCTGAGCTTGTGTGACCTTAGCCTCTTTCTGCGCAACAGCATTCTGGGTAGTAAAACAGAAGAACGATGACTTCTTCATCAGAGCTGTGAAGAACAAATGAGATTAATGGAAGGATTTTATGAATGATAAAATGTAAGAAGTTACTTAAAAGTGGTGAATAAGACTTTTTTTTCCCTCAAAACAAATGGAGTTTTGAAAGTTAGCACAAAGGTATTTCTCAGTTGGAATTTATACTGAGGTTTATTAGCATTGCACGGCCTTCTTATAACACTGGATTTCTCAGTCTTGGTTCTATTAACGTTTGGGACTGGATAATTCTTTGTTGTGGGAGGCTGCTCTGTGCATTGTACGACGTGTGGTGGAATTCCTGCCTCTAGCTGCTAGATGCCAGTAACACCTTCCTCCTCAGTTTTGCCAACCATAACATTTCTAAACATTGCCAAACTGCACTGGGAGAAAAGGTGGAGCTGAAAGCATAAAACCTTAGGTTGAGAACCACTGATCTAACCCAATCTACTTGGAAAAGTAGGTTTTTCTACTCTTTTAAATTTTTATTTTAGGAAAATTTTAATTTTGCTATTCTTTTTATAAGGTAACCTCTTAATTTAGGCTGTTAAAAAAAAAGATTTTGACTTTCAAAGAGATTTTGGAAAAGGACTTTAAAAATGCAGTTCAGTCATGGAACGTACCCTCTCTAACATTTTAGAGATCCATAAACCCTGTCACTGATCACTGTCATAGCAGTCATGTGTCTCTTACTAAGTATTTATGTTGGAGAGACTCATCTTCCTCCTGAATACTGTGGTTGGACTGCCTAACTAAGTGGACTTACTTCATACAATTAATACCTTTTGTTATTTTTATTAGGCATTAAAAAACCACACAAATACTTTATTGACTATCATATGCTGATATCTTTTGATATCCTTTAAGGCAAGGGACCTTTAATATTAGTAGGAACCTATATTTCTGTTATAACTCAAATATTCTGGGTCTATACTTATATAGACTACCTTGAGTAGCAGCAAAGTTAGAATTTTATGACCATGACTGCTAGGTCATAATCAATAGAATTTTTCATATTATTTGTTCCTAATATGATATTCTTCTTCACCATTGGATTTCTAGGACACTGGAAACAAACTGGAGCTGTTTTAAATCCAGAAATTATTGGGAGTTCCCTGATAGTCCTGTGGTTAGGACTTGTGTTGTCACAGCCATGGCCCAGGGTTCAACCCCTGGTTGGGGAACGAAGATTCTATAAGCTTCCCAAGCTATCAGGTACAGCCAAAAAAGAAAAATCCAGAAATTATTATTTTAAAAATATTGATGCCAGGTGTCTGAAACTATCTCTCCTAGCTTATGTTGTCAAGTTCCTAAAGCCAGTTTCCCGTCTCAACTCTGACAGTTAGCTTTTTTACTTGCTTAAGAAAATGTTGATCAAAGCAGGTTGTAAAACAGGAGAAACAGGTTGTAGCAATAGGGCTATTTTTGCTCGGAAGATAGAAGAGATATATAATCCTTAACATATATTGCTAAGTTTTACTTTTCCAAGATTGGTAAAAAGGTTGCTGCATCAGGAGAATTAAGTTCATTTCTCATCTATGGTATTTTTTTTTTTTTCACATTCTGGTTAATCTTTGGGAACCTATAGACCCTCTTCAAAA